GGGGGGGGAGGGGGGGAGGGGGGCAGAGGGAAGCATCACTAAACAGTAATTCCTTCCTCCTTCTCTTCCCCCCCCCTCCTTTACCTAGGGCAAATACTACCATCTCTAAAGATGGAAATCTTGATCACTTTCCTCAAGAATCAGTATTGTTGTAGTTTTAAAGAATGCCCGAAAAGTCCGAACATGGACCAATAAAAACCACAATAAAACACGCAGTACAGACACCTAATTTTATAGGGACAATTTGAGGTTATGGAAGTTGATGATGATGTTAGCGCTGCACTCTTTCGTTGACTTAATACAATTAACCCAATGAGGGCGTGAGCTCATTAAATTTTATATTTACGGATATGAACAGTCCTCGGACCTAATTTTAAAGTAGTTGATGACCTCCGTTTAAATAAATAAATATTAGAAATTTTAGAAATGTAACTTAATTTATTCATATATCTACAGGATAGAATAAACACGAGCAAAGCAATAGATTCCACCTTAAATAAGCAAGTTTGACCAATTACGAACACTAATTCGATTAGTTGCTAAGTACATGATAGCTTTTGCCGTGTCACCGGCCTAACTTTCGTTAAAAGAACTGCGGTGATTCTTTATAATAAGTGGTAGCACAGAAAGAATGGTAGTGAAAATGGAGTAGAACTCACTGAGTGGTAAATTTTGGGGATTTGCTGATTCCTCAACCGCTCTCAAACCCGGTTCGTCGTCATCCGAAATTTCGTAGACAGGATAATCATCATCATCATCTTCTTCCTCAATGTCCTCCTTAAAACAAAAAAAATAAGCAAAGAAATAAAAATAGGTATATGAAGAGTAGACCATCGAGAAATTGGAAGCACAAAGCCCCTGCGGTCAGAATACTTTGCCCTGGAAGTGCTAAATACAGCGCAAAGGAAATATAGCAAACGAGATTACTAAAGTGGAAAATCGGTGCGTGCAGAATTTCTAGAAAATGGAGAGAAAAATGAAAAAAAAATATATGAACAAAAAGGAATGCACAAGTTGAAAATGTCATCTCATACTAATGATTGTGAAAGCTCGAAGGTGGTAGCGACACACTTGGCCAAACTTTAAAACCAAGCCAGTTAAGAATGATCGGCCTCACTCACTGCTAAATGTTCTGATCTAGTTTGCAAAGAGCGAGATTAAGAAAACGCAAATAAATACAAAACTTAAACTTTGAGAAACAGTATCTTCCATAAAAAACTGCTGAATAGTAGAGTATTAGGTTAACAGAACACTTACCAATGATCAATGTATGAAGGTCAGAAAAAAACAAAGACGTGGCTTGAGCAATAAATACTTTCGATACAAAAATCCCAAGTTTCATAAAAACTTCCCAATCAACAGTAGATGTTACATTACACCCCATAACAACTTGTCTTTAATTTTAATCGACTTATTAATAGTAAAGGGAAAGGAGCCGAATAGGCAAAAGGTTATTAATCAGAATCTCCTACTGACCTTACAGCAACTCATGGATATCAGCTGTTAAGACAGAAAATTGGAATGCCAATTCCGAAAACAAAAGCCAGAGATGGACAAAGTCACGTGAATGGCGTCGCGTTAAAACAACACGCTCACTTTGACAAGACCAAAATCGACAATATCACGCTAATGGAGCGAATAGGGGGCACAGAAACTAATTAGAAGGAGGAAAAAAATTCACGGACCCGAGCAATATCAGTATCGTCGACGTCGATAACAATCGGCTTCTTGGATGAGCGAAGGGGACGAGAACTTTTGTGAGAGCTACCGTTAGGATTAGACGTAGATGGCATTGGGGCAGAAGAAACCTGCAAAAAAAGCAAAATGATGGATCGAGAGATGGAATATTCTATTAGCTTGAGGGTAAACTTACATCAAAAATGTAAGTTTGATTCAATTTGAGCCTGTAGCGCTGAAGAGTGTTATCCTTGTGTGCGAGATTCAGGTCAGTAACAAGCGATTCCAAATTTGAATTTTTTGGGGCTTTGGCTGACCAACGCAGGTTAGAAAAGGGAACTTTGGCTTCTTGTTCAGCCAAATGTCTTAAGTCAGCAAGTGAAGTTACATCGGTGATGCCCAGGAGAGGAATAAGTTTATTACCACCCTTTGAATGGTGAGAATTTGATTCCCCGTTTGAGTGAATTGAAAGTAAACGAATTTTAAAATCATAAAACTCCGATCTCGTACAATCATCCGAACTTGGACGTCTAATTTAAAAAAAATAATAATAAATAATAATATCATCATACCTTAGCCGACTTCTCTTCTTAAAGTAACAAGTCCAAGTATTATTGAGGGGAAGATGTAGGGACTTGAGAGTTGCCTAAAGCATTATAATTGGTTATTTCAAAAGGAAAAAAATTATACGATAGTATAATAAAAGTACGTACCCTATCGTGAAAACCGCTAGGATTTCGCATTCCCTCAAAACGAATATGTTTCCTCAAATGTTCGACCTCAGTACGTATGCCCATGTTAGAAGCATATGTAGATAATACATCATAATATTTATTAATCAATAAATCCTTAAGATCTCCAACTGTTCGATCATCAAAAACGTTATCAAGGTGAAAGTCCACGGTGTCCACCTTATCGTCATTAATAAAGAATTTAAAAATAAAAGAAAGACGTTTATGTGATCTAGGCGGCAATGGTGGGGTGTGTTCATTGGCAGAAACATCAACCATTTCTGCGTCTTCTAAATTAAATGTTATTAAAATTAATTGACCAATAAGCACCAGTAGAGGGTCCGCTTAAGAAAAAATTTGCAGCCGCTTCAATGTCAAAATCAAATTGCTGAAGAATCTCTTCAGCTAAATCTCTTTGAATTTTAAACATTTCCTAAAAATAAATTTGGAAAAAGATACGGACCTGAAATTCTTCGACCTTATCCATGTCCATTTAGTATAATTCAATAGATAAAACAGACAAATGAAGCGGTTAGAACTCAAGCAAATGAAACAAATATTTAATAAGTCATAAATTTTATTTAGCATATAGTTTCAGCTTAATTTAAATTTTGTTTAATATTATTTTACTGGTAATTAATTTGACAAAATAATAAAAATGTAATCTTATCCACATGCATGCAAATTTAATGAGACAATCAAGTGGTGTTGCCTATTTTTATTTTTTACGAAAGGAAGTGCGTTATATTATTAGGGAAAATGCAAAAGTATGTGACATTAATAATTCAACATTATTTCTCATGAAATAAAATTATACCTCAATAATATAGTATACTTGATTCATCTTGCCCTATTTGGATTCCTATTTGTCATTAAAATTTTAAAGGGGACATAGAGCTTACTTCAAGTTCACACCAAATATCTAGGCACATTAGAGTAACGTAAAATATAACAAAAGATTATGTTCAATATATATGCATTTATTTGAAGCTATTAGAATTGCTCTATCCACTGAAGTTGTCGTTTAGGCTACATTTCTAATTTCGGAAATTTATCTCCATCATTCTTTTAAAATATGATGGAGATGCATACTGAGAGTTATTCTAGTATGACTGTGATTTGATCTCTAAACAATAGCAGTGTGAAGAATATATATATTCCCAGATAAATCCTTTATTAACTCAATCATTTTTCTTCTAGTAACTACCCATCAACTTGTATTTTTGGAAGTGAGTCATACATAACTTAGCAAATATCAAGTGGGTGGAGAGATCAGTCCTGTAACAAATAGGCTTCCTTAAATTTGAATACCATAACATTGGCTTATCTTACAAAAGATAGTTTCATCATTGTAGTTGTTCATTCCTTATCTTATTGGCACTGATTTCTGATAAAATTTTGACTTTCGATGAAATTCTACGGTCACATTTTTGAGCATTTTAACTATTGCACAATAAGTTTCTTTATCGTAAGACAAGCCATCTAACAAGCTAAACGGACTTCCTTTGACAAGGTCATCTCATGCATCAACTATCAAAGTGATAGCCAACGCACTTTCAAATTTCTGAGAAACCTGCAAAACAACAGAGAAAGACCCAAGAAAGAACCAATACGCTTAAACAGCAAATTGCTTACCACCGACAACGAAATAGCTAACTGCTTTGCGAGGTTCTATTCCCACAAGCAAAAGAAAAACCCTTTTGTCAGATAATCTTCAAGAGATTTAAAGACACAAGTAAGACAGTTTGGTGAAATTGAGGAAGACGCAACACCAAATAATGTACTTACTGAACCATTCAGACCTTGCGAACTTAATGCTGCGATAAAACAGCTCAAGTGCAAGAAATCTCCTGACGAAGACGGTATTCATCCAGAATTTCTAATTAGA